TGATAGCAGACGTCACTTCAATTTGGGGTTGAAATCAAGTCAAAACTTGTTTTTACTTTGTAAAATAGTTTTGATCAAGGTAAATCCGGTGCCAATAACAACACCCATTTGACTAGTATACAAAAATCCATTTCCATATCTTCAATCGTGGTATGGCATCCATATTTGATGGTGTCATGTTAGCTTTTCTTTCTTGACCTCCTCTTCAAATGGAGATCATACATGGTGACTTTATATCATTCATTTTGAAGTTTGGTTTCAAATTCATTGTAGCATTTCCTACTTGAATCCTTAAATAGTAAAAGGAAACAAACTAAAACGTTAAAAACATTACTCAAATTAATTAGTATTCAATTACGTGATGTACCCACTCTTGCTAAAGCTACAAGTTTGGAATCAATGATGGACCCACACTTGTTCCCAAAGAGGCAAACAATTAGCAATAGCCAACCAATTTGTTTAATTAACCAATTTGTTTATCCTAATAAAAAGATGGTTGGCGCAAGTAAACATTTCACTATTAATTAGACGAATAAGTCTTTCGTTTCTTTTCATCTTCTCACCCCATGAAAAACCATTACATCAATCAAACTCAATCCAGACATCCAAAAAAATAAACTAATGGTTATCAAATGGCAATAGTATTGATCATTGATAGAGTTACTAATCTGAAGAACGAAAATATTTGATGTTAAATAAAGAAAATAAAGCAAAAAAAAAAATTACATATTTCTCAATCTCTTGAAAATTTGTTAACCTTGACTTGCAATAATATTTGACCATTGGTTATATCATTCACCAAGAGCATCTCCAATGGAGACATATTTTATAGCTTTTTTGTATTGATTTATGACTTATTTGCATTTAACATCATTGGAATGAATTGCTTTTTGTGTATTTATATTGATCACTCAATATATATTGAATGGTCAATATAGTATCAAACATTAAACATTTAACCCCTTCTATTTTTTAACATATTTTATGTTTACCCCTTAATTATATTCTAGTTTTAAACCTTTTTCATTTATTTAACTACTTAATTATTTCTATCATAGTTTTTAATTTATGAAATATTTATGTATTAATTACTAATGATAACCTTAATTTAAAATATTTAATGTTAAAGTATAATATGTTTAAAGATAATTAATCAAATAAGAAAATTTTTATGAACATTTAAAATAGAAAAGGGTCAATAAATAAAAATTCATAAAAAGTTATTAAAAAAACTTAGGCATTAGAGGACTTATTCAGGGCCGACCCATGGGCCTGGGCAAGCTGAGCAACCGCCCCGGGCCCACAAATGGTAAATGGCCCCATATTTATACATGTTTTTGGGTTATATCGGTGGCAGCCCAAATTTTTTAAGCCTTATGTACTAGTTTGGGCCAAATATTATCAGTTATGAAGCGCCGATCCAAATCCAATTGAAAAAGCGGGAGTAAGTGTGCGGCGTGCCTACTGACCTACTTCGGTTCCGACTTCCAAGGCCATTTTAATCTCTTCAATTTTTGGCTTTCGCTTGAACCGCTTCCATGGAAAACCCAAACGACACCATCGTCCATCTCTCCCAATGCCAATGCCCTAACGGTTAGTTCATATTCTTCAATTTCCAGTTCAAGTTAATCAGTTCTTCTCCTCTTTCTGATTCTTTGAAGTCGCCGCCCAATACTCAATACTCTTTCTTTCTCTTCTAATCTATGATTTCATTTTTCTGAAACAGCAGTAGCTGCAATCGAGATTAGTGGAAATTGGATTTCTTTTGATAGTTGAGACTCGAGACTCGAGATTAACTGCAAAACCAATTGGATTTTTTTCAATCTTTCAGAATCGAAAGTTTCTATTTGTGTAAGTTTGTAATTTCTAAATCCGTGGACTTGATTTCGTTTTTTAATTAAAAATATGTTGGATGTATACTGCAGTGGACTGCGATTTTGTTTATTCATTTCTGATTCTGCAACTGCAAAATCGATCTATGGACACGCTATTAGAAAAAGGTGGGGTTTCCTACAAAAGTTTCCTAGGACCAAAAATTTCTCGCTACTTCATAACATTACTGAGGAAATTCCGAGGAAAACGTGCTTCTGATATTTTCTTTGAAGTTCCTCGGTAATTGGTAGGAAATACCGAGGAATTATCCGTCCTCGGAAGTCTCTCGGAAGTTCCTACGCTTTTCCTACGAAATAAATGTATATTTAACGTTCCTAGGTAGTTCCTCGGTAGTTTATTTTTTACCATTTTATTATTATAAACAAATGATATCATTTTTTTTATATATGGCAAAAAGCCTCACATTTATGTTAGAAGTATTTCATTTAAGTGGTTCCTAGGAAACTTCTCAGAAATTCTGAGGGATTTTCTAGGGAATTTTCAAACAAAGATTTCTCACCAAACATGTCAAACTTTTACCAATTATCCTAGGGACCAAGTCATTAATTTAATACACAAAAAAAAAAACTTATAAAGTTAACACAATTAAACAATTCCTAGGTGATTTCTCGAAAATACCGAGGAAACAAATAAAAAATATTTATTAATTATTATTATTATCATATTATTATTAATTGTTATCATAAGAATTCTTACCATTACTATTATTATTATTGTTATTATTAACAAGATTATTATTAATATTATGTATATTATAACTATTATATTTTAATTATATGAAACCGTTTAGTTTTTTATTACGATTTTCGTCAATTATATTTAATATTGTCATATTTTTATCATTATTACATTTATAATTAAAAGTGATAATATAAACAATCTTATGGCAATTGGAAATACCGTCATTTTATATTATTATTATTAATATTATCATTATTTTTATTTTCATATTATTATTATTATTATTATTGTTGTTGTTGTTATTATTATTATTATATACATACATACATACTAAAAATAATCCTAATGTTAAAAATAACAAAACTAATCCGTTGGAAATGTGTAGGTACTTCCGAGGGATTTCCTAGGACTAATATTTGTTTTTCATTTTTTCAAAGTTCCAACGTAGTGTTTTTTCGTTCCATATTATGTACAACTTTTATTACACACTAAATACTTTTATCTTACAGAGTCATACGTATTATACACATATATAGCCATACATATGAACACATACATATAGATTTAGAATGGTAAACAAATATTTTAAGTAATGGGTTCTGATGGTGCACACATATGTATGTATGTGTATATTGTGTATAAATTGGTGAAATAAAGTAATTCATGTATAATGAAGTCGGAAAAACTATAGAACGAAAAAAACACCGTTAAAACATCAAAAAAATGAAAAATAGATTATGTTCCTAGGAAATCTCTTGGAAATATGTAAGAAATACCGAGAGATTTCCTACACAACATAAATTTTGTCACTAATCCATTGGAAATGCATAGATATTTCCAAGGGATTTCCTAAGACCAAAACCCGTTTTTTACTTTTTCGAGGTTCAAACGTTGTTTTTTTTGTTTCATATTTTGTACAACTTTGTTATACATTATATACTTTCATCTTACAAAGTTATACATAGTATACACATATACACACATATCGATTTATAATGGTAAAGGAATGTTTTGAGTACTGGGTTCTGATAGTGTACACACATGTATGTATTTATATGTCGTGTATAGCTTGTTGGAATAAAAGTAATTCATGTATAATGAAGTTTAATAAAATATAGAACGAATAAACGGTGTTTGAACATAACAAAATGAAAAATGGATTATGTTAATAGGAAATCGCTTGGAAATGCGTAGGAAATACCGATGAATTTCCTACACAATACAAAATTTGTCACTAGTCCCTTGGAAATACATAGGTATTTCTAAGAGATTTCCAAGGACTAAAAGTCATTTTTTGTTTTTTCGGGGTTTAAACGTTGTTTTTTTTTTTTCGTTCCATATTTCATACAACTTTGTTATACATTAAATACTTTTATCTTATTCATTTAAATCGGATACATACATACATGCATGCGCTTGCACCTTCATAATTCATTACTCAAAACATTCATTTTTATTCTATATTTATATTTGTGTGCGTATGTGTGTAACAAAGTTGTACAAAAAAAAGAAACTAAAAAAATGGCGTTTGAACCCTGAAAGATGTAAAAAGAAATTATTTTCCTAGGAAATCCCTCGGAAGTTCCTACGCATTTCCGAGGAAAATAAATATTATTTAGTATTTTTCTAACTATTTTATACTGTAATCTACATCTTTCAACACATATTTAGATATAAAATTATTATTATTATATATATATATATATATATATATATATATATATATATATATATATATATATATATACTAAAAATAATCCTAATAATGGTGTTATTTAAATAAACGAAAAGGGTGTTTAAGCCCCGAAAAATAACATTTTAAATAACTATGTAAATAATTTTTAATTAAATCTATTGATAAAATTCTAAAAAGTGTTTGTGATAATAATTTATATATACATAGCTTAAAAACTTGGGAACAGTATCTTTTTTTCTCTTTCATCAATTCACACGGAAGTTTTTTTTTTTCTTATTTTGTACACCATACTTCATCACAGACCTTTTTATTTTCATTTTCACGCCACACTACTACTTCTCTTTTACAATTGTTCTCTTCCATTCTTATCCACCGATTTCCACCTTGCCGCCTTCCTCCTCCAATACTATTTCTTTAGCTTTTTTTTTTCCTTATTTACTCTTTCTTCTTCACTCTTCCTTCCTGTTCCGTGGCTGCGTTTTTGGTCCTATTTTCACCGCCATCGTCCGCCAATCAGACGCTTTCCGTCTGCTCCGTTTTTCGTTTGATAGACCCGTCTCTTCTACAACTACTCGATTTCCTGTCGTCACCTTCGGCTTTTCTCCACCGGCGACGTCTTGGATGAAAGTTCTTCTCCATACACCAGCTGGCTGTCTTAGCTGTCGCACCACATCAGCAAAGGGCAAAATTTGTTGTGTGTGTTTTTAACCGGTGTTTTTCTTCCCTGCAGATGAAATTGGTGGTCGATGGATGGAGAAAGAGAGATGGTATGAATACTCTCCGTCACTGCCACTTCGTCGACACCTCAATATTTGGGTGTTGTCCGTGGTGCTGTCTCCGGTGTTTCCCGTTGATTTAGAGAAGTCTTTGCTTAGTTAAACCCGTCTGTGACCTCATCACCACTATCCTAGGTTATCCCGACCGACAAGTGTCGCCATTTGCTACCTGCTCCATCATCGTCTCCACTGTAGGGAAATCAATTGAAGCTGCTTACAGATGTCCACCGTTCCTTGCTTTACTCTCTCACCATCGTTTAGACGAGCCTTTGTCGACTATAAATTGGCCTTGTCCGCTGGTATGTGCTTCGTTCCCTAGCTTCTTTGAAGATCGGTTGTGGCTCACTGGTAAGGTACACAACTGAATCTAAAGTTAAAGATGATTATATGTATGAATTCTGTTTAAGGATTAACATCCTATTGTTGTAACTTTTATTGAAGGGAGATGGTAAAAAAGAACGAATCAATTCAGCATGAAGTCAATAATTTCTTTACTGATATCGATAATCTTCAAGAATGACAGAACCATAGTATGTAATTTCTCTATTTCCCCTTTTCCCAACCGCACCACCTCTTCTTTTTTATTCGGTTTTTTTATCTTATCAGTTGCGTTCATTTGGGTTTTAATTGATATGGAATTATGATTAAGGGTTCCACCGGCCATCACCACTTTCAGAGAGACGCTTTGCCTTTTTTCCAAATACCCACCTCGATTTCATCTAACATCATCAAAACCTAGAACGGATGCCCACAGATTGATTGATTGAAGTTCTGGAATCGGTTCAGGTAATGGCTTAAACCCTATTTCCATTTCTTCCTATCGTGACCTCTGTTTTTCAATTTGCTATTCTGTTCTTCCCTTAACTATTAACACTTGTCGAAATAGAGCTTTGTTGGTCGGAGAACATGCTATTTCGTCGCTGGTGGGTCTTTCACACAACCGGAACTGCTTCAACCAAACACAAACTACGATCTCTTGCATCTTGACTGCTACTCCATTGATAAATTTGGTAAGAGTTTAGTAGAAACCCATTTGATGTTTCACTTGATATGAATTCTCAGAATTCATAAATTTTGATGTACATCCTTCAAAGTCCAATAAGTTTGATTCAAATGCCATTAAGGAAGGGTAAAACCGTCACTTCTGCTGTAATTGTTTATGTAGATGTAAGAAATGACTTTTGGAGTCAATCTATCAACATCTGTCCTTAATTTCAACAAAAGATCATCGTCACCATTTTGCACCTGGGTTCCATTTTTACCCCAATAAAGTGTCAAACCAAATCTTCTAGAAGCATTCTTCCCTTCGGTATACTCAATAATATGCCATCCATGTGCACTACTTTTCGTCCCACTTTGTATCAATTCTTCCCCACTTTCACCATCTGAAAGAACAATGTCAAAAAGGGGCAAGGGCAAAAGGTCATTTTAGTCAAAAAAATTGAAAACAGTGGTACCTTTTAGTCGAAAATCTTCTATTTTTTCTTATTGATTGCAAGAGACCAACGTGTTGGCTCTTTAGTATCAATTGTAACTTATGTAAGCCTTTCATCTGTTCTTGAATCATCGTTTTTTACATTTAATATTGGAATATCATATTCAGTCCATCCATTTACCGAATTACCCTTGATGCAAACAACTATAAGAGTAACTTTTACTCTTCCACATTCAAACCTTCACCAATATGTTCAATCTCTTCTTATGTGACTTCGTCTTTCTGCGTGTCACCGCCTCGACGCCTCCGTCCGCCAACCGCCCTTGCGCCTCCCTCTGCATATAATACAAGGAGCTCTTGCTCTTGTGGTTTTTGTTTTCAATTTTGACCAATATTTCCTTCGCATTGAACTGGAATCATCGCCTCTAAGAATTGTCGGACTTCATGGAAGGTAAAGTCCTTCAATTTTCTGCAGCGTCTTTTCCTTCTTCAATTTTCTGCATCTTCTTACTGTCAGTAGGTTTGAGCAATCGATTACTACATGAATCACAAAATCAATTCCCACTTTTGGAGATTATATATATAAACACTTATGAGATGATCATTAACACTTTTTGAGGTCTTTGACTTTTTTTTTTTGTTCTTTTTTCTTTTGCAGTTGATGCGGTGTAAGGTCTGTAAGCTCATATATTCATTTATCTTATTGTCTAAGTATGGAAATGTTATTTGGGGGAAATTAAGAGTTTGATTTATCTCGGTTTGTCTTGTAGTTTCAATGGAGAACCTCTAACCCCATAGAAAATCAACTACCTGAAGCAGTTTGGTTGCCTGATGGGCCGTAAAAATTAAATCAAGGAATGATTTGGTAGTGAATGACTTAAGCTACCATTTATGTTGCAGCAACCAAGCAAGGGATGGATTGCTTTTATGCTTGAAGTGTTATTGGTATAGATGTCAGTCCAAACTTCATCCATTTAGTTTTCTGTATATAGTTTATGCAAATGTAAAAATTACCTCTTTAAGGTGTGTTTTCTTATAGCATCCAGGAATAAATTTTGCAGGAAAGATGCTCAAAAGAGTGTGTAGTGTTGGTTGTTAGTAATGAATTGATCAAAAAACATGGGAGAAAAGAATCATAGGATACGAAAGGGTAAAACAGTCATTTTTAACATTCAACTGTTTATAATATGCTCAGGTACAAGCTGAAGTTGAAACAAATACTACAACAAATTCATCAAGTTGCAGCAATGGTCTTCTTTAGTTGACAAGGTATCATTTGTCTTTATTTACATTCCACATCCACCAAACAGGAATGTACAAAGGAATGGAATCCAATTCCATTCCATTTCAACTCTTTTTTCCAATTCCATTCCATTTCAACTCTTTTTTGGTTTTGAAGGGCAATAGACTTCTTGGTGGAGCTGTTCTGTAACTTATACCAACATCAAGGCTGGTCCATGCAACAAGCTTACAATCTACCTAATGATCCTTATATTATTGTTGTAAACACTAGCTAGTACCTTTCAAAACCATTATCTTATTTTTGTGTTTCAACATTTATATTATGTTTGTTTTCAAACCTCTGTTTAGAAGTTATGTTGTAATGAAGAATATTTTGGATTTATGTTTATTGTGTTTGTACATAAACTTCAAACATAATCTGGTCATTTGTATTAGATTTTTTTTCTACATTTTGGACAGAAAAGAATCTGGTTTGTTTGTGTTTATTTTTGATTTTTTTTTTTTTTAAATTAGATTTCCTCGGAAATGCCTAGGAAAATTTATTCTAATAGTGTCACTAAAAACTGTCGCGAAAACTGTCAAAACAAATACTTCCTAGGAAATTTCTCGGAAAAGTATTGTAGTAGGAAATTCCTCGGAAATATATTCCTAGGAAATTCCTCAGAAAAGTATTGTACTAGGAAATTCCTCGGAAATATATTTCCTAGGAAATTCCTCGGAAATAACAACAAAATTGGTATGTAGGAAAATTCTCGGGACTTCCGACAAAAGAGCTCTCCTTGGAAATGCCTCATAAATTTCCTCGGAAATTCCTCACAGAACATTTCGTAGGAGCCTTTTACCTACGCACATATTTTCCTTGGAATTTCCTCGGAAAACCCGTTTTGTTAGGGATTTCTGAGGAAATTGTCCCTCGGAAAAGGCGCTGTTTTTTAGTAGTGACATTGATCATTGTAATAGAAATAGAGTTTTCAGATTTCGTTTTTTTAATTAAGAATCTGCAAAATCGATTTGTTTATGAATCATTGTTCAAGATTGAAATATAATTTTATGATTTCAATTTTATATGAATCATTGCTCGATTTTTCTATTTAACTATATTTTAAACCTCAGATTTCTCATTTCTTTTGGGCTGCTGAAGGATTATTATTTTATTAACAGCTGAGATGCAAGACTAAGACTCTAAGAGAGCAGCTAAACAGATTCTCTCTTTTCATTTTTTTTGTTAATCAATTTTTTTTTGAATAATTCGAAATTTCTGAATTTTAAAGATGATTTTGTTTTAATTTGATATCTCTATTTTCTAATCTTCATGGCTCATTTCTGTTTTGAGCTCAATTGAATGAGGATATAAACAACCAAGAGAGAGCTGAAGCCTGATGTGCATGTAGTCTCTTCTTACTTTATTTTGGTTATTTGTTTTTTTTTTTGTGAATATGTGTGATTGATTGTTGATATGTTATCTTTATTGATATCGGTTAAAAATGTCTCTTAGAAAATACAATATAATGAAGCTCAAAAAGGATCTATGCAAGTTTGTAAAAAAGTTAAAATTGTCTTATGTACAAGATAATGTTATCTTTAGTTTTTATTTGCTATTTATATGTATTAGGGTTCAGAATATGTTCTAGCCTTTTTATTTTGTTGTTTTAAATTAATAGCTGCTAGGTTGTTTGGTTTATGGGGCTTGTCCGAGAATTTTTTTTATAGGGGGGGGGAGTCCCCAGCCTTAAAATTGTATTTTTTTAATTAATAAAAAAATTACAAATTTGCCACCCTCCTTTACACAAAAAAAGGTTTTTAAGGGCCCCAATTTTTTATTTTGCCTAGGCCACAAGTTGTCTAAGACTGGCCCTGGACTTATTTAATTAGAGGTTAAAAATATTATAATAATGAGGTGACAAAAGTTTTAAGTGATATGATAAGTCTACCATTAGAGATGCTCTAATATACAAAATAAAAAATGCATCGCAAAACTTCTCAAAAAATGAAATAAAACAAAAAACTGTTTTTACAAAAAAAAAAAAAAAAAAAAAAAGAACAAAGTTACACCAACCATGGTAGTTATCTTACAACTACAAATTTTGATTCATAATAAAATAAACAACGATTTCTTGATTCAAACTTATTATAATAAAGAACTCAAGACAATTAATAAGGTAATTAAATAATTCCACAAGAATCCAATGTGCATATCCACCACAAACTAAAAACTCCTTATTTATAGTTTGTTCCCACATCCGTAGCTTCACAAACTTTCAATCTCTTTATAAAACCCATTTGAAGAGAAGTCACCACCGGGCTTGGTAGCGCTTGCCTATAACTCAAGTGAGGGTATCAAAGATGGTCGGACTGTGTCATAGCCTGGCTCGATTGGTCCTGTTGGTGCACAAACTGGCTTGCCCGTTCCAAGTTGTGAGTTGGAGCATGCGACTTCAGCGAAGGCTCGTGTCACCTGGTTCCTAGAGAAGAGGGCACTGCATTAGGCTGGCTTCACAGAGCTGTGAAAACCTCTCACTTATGACAGTGGAAGGATAACAAGTCGGGGCTCCACTTGGCTATATAATCCGCTAGGCTGTCTTAAATGAACATCCATCTTTTTTATAAGTTTACTTAAATAATTTTACACTATATTTTGATTTTAGGCTAATTTAAATAAATATTACATCGAGGTATATCCGCTAATAAAACTCAACACGGATTGCGACTAGGAAAAATCGAACACAACGACAACTCTTTCCCCTTTTCTTGATACGGTGTTATGATGAATAACGACTTGCTGGAGGATTACATATCGGTGGACGTGCCGGAGTGGTTATCGGGCATGACTAGAAATCATGTGGGCTTTGCCCGCGCAGGTTCGAATCCTGCCGTCCACGATTTTTTTTCGTGAAGATTCTGGAAAAAATCGCCCTTGTGCTTTACAGAGCTTTGTCGGTGTGTTTTTTTTTCACAAGTTAGGGTTGATAGAATCCTGTGGGCAATCTCCAGGGGTATAGTTGTAATTTGTGCAGTGGAGAAAGGGTCGCAAGTTCTCTCCATAACAAAGGAATCATCATCACCTTCTTCATTTGGTTGAATCATTTTGTGGGCCAATGTTGTTATTTCTGAATTCGACTAAAAAAAAAATCAAGGATAGCTTTGATTTGTAACTTGTTTTACCTTCCCAGTTTTCAAACTTCAATAAGTATACATAGACTTCAAGTTGTAAAATTTCTGAAATTGTTGATTTGGTTTTTGGTACTTACTTGTTTAAAGCATCCTACTTTTATTTCTTTTATTTACTTGCATATTAATTCAAAGCCTCTTACTTTCAAACATGTTTTACTTCTCTTTAATGAAATCTAATCACATTGCTCATGATTTCAAGGCTGTCTTTTAGCTGTCTTTCAGTGATCGTTTACCTAATATAATAGTGTTTAGCTTACATTTATATGGTAAGTTTGAATTGTAAACCTTTGTTTTTTTTATATGGGAAGTTGTGAGTACAAGTAATTATATGTTTTTACCTTTATTGGCAAAACACTTTTTAACTTTTAACTTTAGTAATTTTGTACCAATTTGGTTCGACTAATATACCTAGTTGTGCTAAGTTAATCTTTGTTGTAATTTTAATTAATGAATAAAGTGAATATGTGATGATAAAAGTTGGTCAAATAAGATGTGATTCTTATTTAATGGACTGGTGTGGTTTTTTGGAATTTTTGGGGGAGTTTATACAAATTATCTTATGTTTTACTAGTTACTCTTACTCATATCTGGAAAGTATATGATGTGGTGATAATTTGGGGCAATTTTTAGAAATCATCTTTGTTTATATTCGTCATGTTTTTCTAATAATATATTCGTTATGTTTAGAAAACCATACAATTTATAGTATATAATCATTTTATGATATATTGGTTACTCATCTTAAAAAAACACAACAATATAAATTATTTTATTTTATTATTACTAAACGTGTGTCCGTGCAAACGGCGGTGATAAATAGCTCTTTTGACGGAGATTTCCCTTTTTCAAAAGAGAAAAACTATTTTACCATAAATACATTTTTAATTTATATTGGGCTGACTCAACTGTTGTAACTAGGATTTTATCTGTCGCGCGTTGCGGTGGCAACAATAGATTTAAGAAGATGAATTATTTCAGTAGCAATAGAAAAAGTAAGGGACCAAAGTCATGCATAGAAACTTAAGAGGACTTAAGCTGCCAAAAGACAAAATTTAGGGACCAAAACCATGTCAATAAAAATGCTTAAAAATAAACACCAAAATGTAAAAAATATTTACGTCAAAATGCAAACAAATTCGAAGAACGAAAACATTAAAAAAAAATACCTCAAAACGTAGACAAATTTAAATTTATACCGACACATACATAAAAAACACAAGTAATTTGTATTGGTACATACTTAAAAACAAACACATAATAAATATTTTTTTATAACTTAACAAAAATTTCAAATTTCAAAGCCGATGAGTCAAAGTAATATTTTACAAAGTCGATGTGTAATAATTGTAGGAGAAACATATTATGTATATAACGGTGGTAAACACGAAAGTTAAAAAAAATGGTGGAGTGAAAATGACATTTTACAAAGTTTAAAGTTGAAGGGATAAAAACGATATTTTAAAAAGTAGAGGGTGGAAAATAGAAGAGTGAAAGTGGCATTTCAAAAGTTTAAAGATGAGGGGGTAAAGACGATATTTAAAATTAGAGGGGTAGAAATTGTCATTTTTCGTGATAAAGAAGTGAACAATATACATTAACAAACTTTCAAATAGAAAAGCCAAACGGCTTCGGCATTGCTGTCCTTTTCCTTCTCTGAAGAGTTACCACGTCAAACGTCATTTGGGTTAGGTATGGAAATCGAGTCGTGTTCAAGTTGGCGGGTTCACGGGTTAGAATGCATTAACCCAACCCAACCGATACAATATGTGGGGTGGCGGGTTGGAAACATCAACCCAACCCAACCCGCATAACCTGTTTAAGTATATAGGTTCGCATATGGATCGATACGATCATTCAATTCCATTTAGGACTTAAGAGTGTTAGCTATATATATATATATATATATATATATATATATATATATATGTGTGTGTGTATGTGTAACTCAAACCCAACCCATATAATATATGGGTTGGCGGGTTAGAATTCTTAACCCAAACTCGTTTATTTTCGTGTTGGGTTATAGGTTGGGTCGAAAATTGTCACCCTTAGTTTGGGTCAACCGGTAGTAATAATGGGCGATATCATTGACAATTTCAATTTGTTAGTTTCACTTGCTTATACGACTTTATCTGGGGAAGGATGTCTTCGGTAGGAACCACACTCTTACAGGAAACAAGTTTCCATAGATGAATCCAAATCAATAAGTTCGTTCTTT